TCTCCACCCCGCCCCTCGGCCCCCCCCCCCAGCACCCCGGCCTCGGGGGGTGTGACAATGGACTATGACTTTAAAGTGAAGCTGAGCAGCGAACGGGAGCGGGTCGAGGACCTGTTTGAATACGAGGGCTGCAAAGTTGGTCGAGGCACTTACGGGCACGTCTACAAGGCGAAGAGGAAAGATGGGTGAGTGTGGGTGTCGCTGCGGGAGTCCCCGAGGCTGAGAGGCAGGTGGCCAGTGTGGGTGCCACTACTTCTGCCTCTGTCCCGGTCAGCCTGCTTTGGGGAGGAAGTGGTGTCCCAGGAATCCAAATACACAAGAAACCCTGCGTGCAAGAGGGAGAAGGACCGTCTGTCTCATGGGCAGTGTTCCTTTTTTTTTTTTTTTTTGTGGATTTCAGTACAGTGTTTTTGTTTTTGTTGTTGTTTTTTTAATCGTTATAAAATGCCAGTTCGAATGTGTTTTTCTTTGGTCGATTTATCACGGTAACCTTTTGGGGACTAACTCACCCGCCTCTGGAGTGATGTCTATCAGTCTGGAAGAGAAGCCGAGATCTTTTTCTCTTATCAATTGTGAACAGTTGACCAAATTTGGATTTGATGGGGGAAAGAAGACAGCGAGTGAGTGTGGGACTGGAGAGTTCCATGGAGGATCATCTGTAATGTAAAGTAGCAGTTGCTATTCAGGTATCATTAGCTGTGAGGTTTTATATAGAACAATGGGGATTTGGTGCAGAGTGGATGGGGGGGGGAAGCAAGTGACAGATAATCGGGGCTATGTTGTGCAAGCTCTTTAACCAGAATTTATCAGCTGCCAGTGAACTTTAAATAATCTTTCCTGCTTCAAAAATTCTCCCCTAGAAACAAGAAATAAACCTATGACTGGTAATGCTCTTAATTTTGCTTCTTAACAGTAAATAGAAGCTCTCATTTTTTCCTTTGTCAGTAGATGACTGCATTGTAGTATTAACAAAAGGGAAAGTAATTGTTAGTTGGGGAGAAAATCTTTATTAATTTCCCGTTTTCTCTTGTACAAATAGGTATTATTTCTGTTGCCTTTGACACTAGGAAATTATTGGAAAGATTGTCATAGCTTATTATATAATCTTTGGGGTTTATTGGAAACAGCTTTCCTTGAGCATCCCTTGTTTGACTAGTTGCTATTTTACTATTTAGAAGACTTTTTTTTTTTTCATATTCACAGGCGTGCATATTCAGAACTGCTTTAGCACTACAAAGTGAAACCTTAAAGTTGCGGGGAGTTCTTTCCAAGGGAGCTTGTTTATAAATACTTTAGTAGTCTGGATAATGGAAAAGGAAGTGTCAGTTTATTAAACACTTCTCCTTATTAAGCCTTCTTATAATGTATTTCAGTGCTTTTGTGCAAAAATGAAACCACGAAGATATGGGCAGAAGGTAGTGGTGGAAAACTTGGTGTTCTGGGTGCTGTGTGGCTTTAAATGGATAGCAGTGAGTGGCATCCAGAGCCCTTGCTGCTGATTCTTGTCTGACTAGATTTGTTTTGTCAACATTTTATTAATGAATTATATTTAAAGAAATCATCTGAATTTGCAGCAAAGTTTTCTACAGAGGGTTAAAGCATCTTCCATCCCTCAGTATCACATAGTTTGAAACATGGTCATAACATCTCCACTCCCAAGACATTTGATATGGTGTAGTACATTGTCCAATCTGTTGTGTTTTTAAGAATGCTAGTGATTTTTGTGGCCCTGTGAAAGGAGCCAATTCTGGCTTCATACATTGCCAAGTTAGGCTAATAAAATATCCAGATGTGTTTGATTGTGGGTTTTTTAAGTATATGATGTATATGCAGGGGTTACTTTATCTTTTACATCTTGATGGTAAGTTTTCATCTAGGATGTTAAGATTAATTTCAGAAGAAATTACATATCTTAAAAATAGCTGATGTTAAGCACTCAGGAGACAGAGGCACTCAGATCTCTATGAGAGATCTATGTCCTGGTCGCTAGTTCCAGGACAGCCTCCAAAGCCACAGAGAAATCCTGTCTCAAAAACAACAACAACAAAAAATAGCTGGTGTTAGTGTGTATTTCTTAATCACTTATGGTAATTGCAATTGAATATTTGCATTTGGTTTTTTTTTTAAGCTTTTATGTTTTGGGTTTGTTTTCCAGCAGCCTTGAATGATTCTGTTTATTGTGATGGACTTTGGTAATTTTTGTAGTGAATCAAATGCCATGGGAGTTTTAGAATTAAAACAGCTGTGATTGTAGACCACTGACCAGGCTAACCTTGAAATCAGAGATCCATTTGCCTCTGCTTCTTGTGGTGGCACTTGAGACACCATGGTACTTGGTCTCACAAAAGTATTCTTAATCTGAGCTGGGCCGTGGTGGTGCATGCCTTTAATCCCAGCACTCAGGAGGCAGAGGCAGGTGGATCTCTGAGTTGAGGCTGGCCTGGTCTACAAAGCTACACAGAGAAACCCTGTCTCGAGACCCCCCCCCCCCAAAAAAAAAAAAAAAACCAATCAATCCTATTATCCTCAGTTCATATATGAGGAAACTAAGCCGTTGAAAGTTAAGCAGATTTGTCCTGTGAGTAGCAATGTCAGTTAGGACCTGAGAATGTCCTTGCGGTGTATATACTCTGGAGCACATCCCATGTCTGCCCCCTCCCCCCCCAAAAAAAAAAGGATTTCTCTGTGTAACAGCTCTGGAACTTGGTTTGTAGACCAAGCTGGCTTGGAACTCACAGAGTTCCTGCCTGCCTGTGTCTCCTGAGTCCTGGGACTAAAGGCATGGGCTAAAATGGAGCCCATGCCCTTAACCACTTTATTTCATATAATTAGCTTGAAGACTCCGGACAGCATCCCTGTCTGCCACTGATACCTTAGATACAATTGAATCTGCTAGTTGATATGGCCCAAGATGACCTGGAACTCACTCTGTATGTAGCTCGGACTGGCCTTGAACTTAAGCAGTCCTCCTACTTCAGCCTCTTGTGCTTTTTAATTTTATTTTGTGTATATGAATGAGCACCACATATATGATTGATTGAAGTCATGGATGGTTGTGAATCATTATGTGTGTGCTGGGGGTCAAACCCAGGTCCTCTGCAAGAGCAACAAGTAACCTTAACCTCTGAATTTTTCTGCATCCTGAGAAATTGGGCAACTCCCAAAGATGCAAAAGCTACCCAACATTCGTTTTGTCACCTTGGTGTTGGGTTAGTTAGTACCTGCTCCCATGGTTGTCTGTTGTTGGGAAGTCAGCACAAGGGACTCTAGATTCAATGTTTATTGTAGTTTTGAGTCTTTGGATAGTTTGGATGTGCATTAATGAGTGTTCCTTACAACCTTTTAAAAAAAAGTGATGGGGCTGGGCAGTGGTGGCACATGCCTTTAATCCCAGCACTGGGAGGCAGAGACAAGCGGATCTCTGTGAGTTCGAGACCAGCCTGGTCTACAAGAGCTAGTTCCAGGACAGCCTCCAAAGCCACAGAGAAACCCTGTGGAGGGGGGGGAGTGATGGGAGCCAGGCAATGGTGGCATACACAGAAGCAGGCAGATCTCTGTGAGTTCCATGCTAGCCTGTTCTACAGAGCAAGTTCTTGGACAGCCTCCAAAGCTACACAGAGTTTCTATCTTGGAGAGGGGGTTAAAAAGAAAGAAAAAAAAGAGTGATGGGAAGGGACAAGAGTAATATTTATGGTGCATGTCTTACCCACATGGCATCGATTAGTACATTTTTAGCTCCTGTTTTGAGTCATTTTCCAGGTTTAATTCTTTTTTGTTTGTTTGTTTTGTTTTTTGTTTTTCGAGACAGGACAGCTGTGTAGCTTTGGAGCCTATCCTGGCACTCGCTCTGGAGACCAGGCTGGCCTCGAACTCACAGAGATCTGCCTGCCTCTGCCTCCCGAGTGCTGGGATTAAAGTCGTTCGCCATCACTGCCCGGCTTGTTTGCAAGGTTTAACAAGTTAAGAAGTCATTTGGGGGGTTGGTCGATAGTAGTGCACACCTTTAATTCCAGCACTGGAGAGGCAGAGGCAGGAGAATCTCTGTGAGTTTGAGGTCAGCCTACTCTTCAGAGTGAGTTCCAGGACAGACTCCAAAGCTACACAGAGAAACCTTGTCTCGGAACCCCCCCCCCCCGCCCCCCAAAAAAGAAGTCATTTGGAAGTTTTCATGTGAACTATTACTTTGAGACTTCTAAGATTTGAAAAACTCATTCACTTAGCTATTGGGCCACTCTGAATCATTGGAAAGGCGAAGAATTGAAACGTTGCATTATTTGAGGAATTATCTCCTGGGAAAACAAACTTGTCAAAAATTATAGCAATTTTAATAAGTACTATAATAATGTTAATTGTAATTTGGAGAAGGAAGCTCTGAATTACTTTGGGGTTTTATGGAGAAAGCAATGTTTGGTTGGCTCTTGGAAGATGAGAAAAGTTGGGTCATTCTGAGAGGAATAGCAAAAGTGTGCTTTTGATTTTAATTTTGTTTTTTGGTTTTTTTTTCCTGCAAAGCCCTGTGGGTGTGTAGGCTTTTCTTTGCCATGCCTTTCTGACTTAGTTTCTTTTGTGCCTTGCAGTGTGTGTTGTGTGTGGCTGTGATAAGGTCTCTGGTTATTTTTGTCAGTGGAGCTGTATTTATCTTCATGTACCAAACAGCTTATTTGTGTGTTTGTAGCAGCTTTCCATCAGAGCACTGTTGGCCATGCAGTCCAGGTGGCCTCTCGGATGCAGGAGCTGCCACACACAGCTTTGCCAGTAGCTCTGGCTAGCTGGCCTCACAAAGAGCTGGAGCTAGGGTTCTGAGGAAGCAGTGGTGACTGTAGATTGAGGTGGGTGAGATTCGTTCTCTAGTCAAAGGTTTGGGAAACAGTGGAATTTCTCTGGTTGGCACTCTGATGTGTGGAGAGACCAGAGATAGGGACTGGATTTCTCCTATACCAGATTTCAGCTAGGAAATTAGAAATAATTTTTAAAAATGATAAATTATTATAGTTGTGATAAATTATTTGTAGTTGTGAATTCTGATTTACAAACATTTGAAGTGAGGCATTATTTGTTAGTGGGAATGATATATGCCAAATTGGTGACATTTTATTCTCTGTGATTGGTGATACCTTTCTTTGCAGTGCCTTTTTAACCAATTCTAGTTGCTCTACTTTTTTCTGTCCTTAGCTCCTGCTAGAAA